ACAGAGGGGGATTGTTAGGAGGCCATGATTGATAAAGGCCGATGGGGAAATTTGGCCAGGATGCCGGGGTTACACCCCTACTCTTTTCGAGAAACACCCTGGGATTTTTAATGACCACAAAGAGTCAGGACCTCGGTTTTATGTCTCATCCGAAGGACGGATATCAGAATCAGAACACACTGATATCAGAAAACTCTTCTTCCAAAAGTTTTTTGGAAACATTTCCAAACATCATTCCTGACTGTGGCTCTTGGTGGTAACAGTCCATTGGATTTTAGAGGTCTATGTGTAAACCATTTACAGTTTTAGATTGGAGGAGTAAGCTAAACTGATTCAAAGTGAATAGTTCAGTGACTTAACCAAGGATTCAGGTATGAGTATAAAACAAACATTCAGAAATGCATCCTGTAGTATATTTCAAAAGCAATACAAAATATGAAGACAAGGAAAGACGTTAGGAGTATGTTTATGATTTCTGCTACATAGTAATACTGTAATATGTCATCTGTAATATCAGTGACTATTCTTCTCAGAAAATAAGGGAAGGACATGAAAATTCCTAGAAACAGGCCCCAAAATGTACGTGGACTCTGGAGGGAGAGCAACTGGAAAACTGGTTTGTGTCAGAATCTAAATTTAATTTTATATAGAATGGAAATATATGCAGGGACTTTTAATGAGACCTTTATCAGCCTGGTGCAATGTTATGTAGATTAAAACTGAATCCAGACCATGCCAACAAAAGCTAGGTGATTCAGCGCTTTAAAATTCTACTTAAGAGTGAATGAATACCCTACAAAATGAGAATAATATAATGACCAACGTCCAGATAAACCTAAATTACAACATCATCTATAAACTGGATAAGAGCTTTGGTGTGAGACTTTTGTTCATGGCACTGTAGTACTGTATGTACAAGTACATCAGTACTATCCTCGCATCTCGATAACAGTACACCAGGGTGTCCTGGTTTTCAGCCACTTAAAAGGGTCAATAAATGTAAACTCTTTTATAGCTGTTTACCTGCAGAAAAGTTGAAAAATGTTATTCACCCAACATTCACTGGCACGTAAGATAACACAGCAGGAACAGCATGAGATAAAGAGACTTATTGAAAAATTATCATGCTCTGTTGTCATGTATATAGAATACATACACCTCACTACAATGACTTATTTTACTTCATATAACCATTCACAGGCACCGTATGAACATATATTAATAGATTTCACTTTTTAAATATATTTTTCTTCATAAATACAGTCTATAAGGCTGATACAGATTGCTTCTTATCTATGACACTTTAAATACCAGTATTTTGTATGGCAACACTTACTAAAATTAATGTTTAAAATAATGTTTTTAATCCCCCACAATACAAATTCAAATAAAAAACACATGCAAAACACATTCAAAAAGGAGAAATGAGTATGCAGTGACTTTTCATAAAACCAAATCAAACCATATTTTTTAATATGTTCAATACAATGAATACTGTATATACAGCATTTGCCAAAGTATTAGAGAACACTCTTTATGGCAGGTTGGTCCACCTCCTGCAATGATTACAGTTCCTGTATATCACAGTACTGATTCCACCAGATGTTTACAAATATCCATGTTGATATTGAACCACACAGTCAACATGCAGCCTTAAGCTTTCACACATATGCTCAAGTTCTAAGCAACCACTGCATGGAAACCCTTTCAGTCTGTCTGAATGGGCATATTAGCCATGTCTGCTACTACCTTCAACAATCCATCACATGGCATGTGCACCAACAGTTAATGCTTCTTGCAAAGCACAGCAAACTGAGGAAAAGCCAGGTCAACTTCTCCTTTAGAGCTCTTGTGAACCATTTGACATACTCATTAATTTAATTCATTAAATAAATAATTTCAAGGCCAATAGTGTGAATTATGCTGGCTACCAGTACTGTTACCTTAAGCATAGTTTTCTCCATCTATTGAAGGATGTCCAGAGTAGGAGGACTGTAATTTCATCACTGGTTGATGTCAGCCCTCCCCACTGGTTTCAAAAGCCACCATGCAAGACACAGCAGCATGTGTCTCATCATGACTGTGGTGAACTCCAGCTGCTTCTGCCCCTTGCCTCTCAGTGTCTGGAGCGACGCAGTATGTACGTGAAATGAATTTCCTGAAGCATCACACTGCGCTCCCCCAAAACTGCCAAACTATAAATCTGCGAGACCAGAAAGCAGCAAGTGTGTAGGAGTCTGAGATCCCCTGAAGAGAAGGCAATAAATAAAGAATGACAACCTCAGGAGTTCTATTAACTGTAGATGAGGATGCATAAAAATCCCCAGGAAGAAAATGAGCTGGGAAATGAGGATCCATCATATCGAAAATGTTGAAGTTGTGTTTTCCCAAGTTGGGATAAAGCCTAATCTTAAAGCAAAGCATCAGGGAGGTACTAAACTTGGACGGACTAAAAAACAACTGCAGTGTGAGGGCCAGGACAATTAAGCAAGCACAAAACTGCAAAGCACTCAATAGTAATCTCAAGTGCTATTATGCATTTAATAACTAAAATTTAATGCAACATGCATTCTGCAAAGAATGTGTTTTTAAAACACTTTGTGCCAGAAATTAACGAGAGAGGATCAGGCAATAAATGTATCACTTTCTGAAAGGGTGTTTCAAAGGCTAAGAGCTCTATCCACCTCATTGTGCCACATGAGATACTGAAAGAGGGAGGGGGGTTGCTTTTTAGACTAACTTATGATGTGATTAATCAATAAAGCGATTTTACACGACAATTACTTTTTGACAGTTTTTCAGACCTTAACTGGCAATCCAAACAAAATCACTAAAACATACATATCTACTGTTTTAGACATATCAAAAAAGAGGAGGTAATAAATTTGAGTAAAAATGGCTGTTAACAGAAGACACGTGAAGCTCCAGCATCATACCATTTTAAATCTTGCATGTCCTTAATTTTTTTCCCATGAATAAGAGATTAAGTGAAAGTCAACTACAATATGGGGGTGCTTAACACTTGTGACATCAGGACTTTGGCTCATCGACTCATCAGAAGAGGGCACTGGTGTCACCAGTCTCCATGTTAGGGCATTCATTAATTTGGACATTTTAGGGCAGAGGGAATAGCGTCACCTACAGGTCCACCAAAAC